GCTATTAACAATATTTTGCGGACCAATACCAATTGCAGCATGAAGAGCAGTATAACCGTTTCATGATATTATTTCACCCCAACTTGCACGACGGCGCAAGATATCCTCCACATAAGCAAAATCCCCTTTTCTAATGGCATTGATCAATAAAACAGTGGATTGTCTCAATAATTCGCTATCTGCAAGGGATCTATGTATTAGTCTCCATTTTAATATTCTTTGAAAAGGCAAATTCAACAGAAGCATCGTATAAATTCTTGTCTGGTATGTAGTGGTGGACATGCTTGATAAATTGTTTGTATGAAGTTATGGAATAAATATGTATCTTCCAAAATTAGTATCTTTGGATGGCAACTATTACTTAATAGGTTGCCAGCAAAAGATAATTTATTGAGGAGAGGTGTGTGCTTTACTGAGGGTGATTGAAATTTGTTTTATGTAATGAGAAAGTTGGAGTATCGTGAACATCTGTTCTGTGGGTACAAGCGGGCTTGGGTCATTTGGATGAGGGTACTGGATTGGTGGGGAGTGGAGAGGGTATTGCCAAGAGAAGTACCTGCGTTGGGATTTTATTTGTTGGGTGGCAGGGGCGGAGGCAGAAATTTTCTTGAGGGGGGGCAAGATGCTAAAATTTTCAAAGTTTAGGGGGGGTTAGATAATTTTCATATACTGATTATATACTGATTTGCAAGATTTTCAAATTTCAGGGGGGCGAGCACCGCCCTTTGCACCCCCTGGCTCTGCCACTGTTGGGTGGAGTAGGGCTAGGAGGAAGCAGTATGGAACTATGGATATAAGGGCATTAATTTATTTGGTGGTTTGCTGGAGTGTACGGGTGTGGCGAAATTCGAAACTCTATGGCAGTGAAGTAGATTTGGAGCATATGCTTTTGGATTTTATTCAGAATAAGACTTTCCATTTGATTAAACGTATCATGACTGGTGTGTTCAACCAAGGTTGGGTGCTGCATCAATTGAGCAGTACATGATCAAGGAGTACAGTGAGAATGTGAAAACATTTCGCAAGAATTCTGTAGGCACTTAAGGGGCTGATAAGTTTAGTTAGTGTTATTGAGGTGTTGGTTCCAATTTTTCATATCTATTGATGTATTGATTTTGTGATGGCTCCAGGTAACTCTTGTACTTTTTTATAATAATAAATTTTAAGGCAAATACTATATTTAGTCCCAACCCTATGGTATAAGTACTAGATATTGTGCTAATCTTTTATTTGAACAAGAAATGATCACTAACCTTGTCAAAATCATCAATCTTAATCTTACCATTAGTTACTTCCTTAAGTCTCTAATGAAAATCCTAATTAAAATTTTATGGGACCCATTTAAATTCCATAAAATTTCAAGGCCTAACCTGTATACCTTTACAGTTTCTATAAAGGATTCTCGAAATAGTGCTTGTGTTAATTAGAGGAGAAAAATGAAACAGAGATTTGGAATTACAGTTGACAATAAAGAAGAAAATATTTAAAAATCTCAAAAATTTGGGGTTTGGGAGGCTTTTCTCTATTTTAATTAAGGATCCTAAAGGGTTTTAGCAAATTCAAATTAGAATTTGTGTCAAAGACTTAGCAGAAGTGACTAATAATAAGATTAGACTTGGTGATTTAGAATAAATTTGGGGTTATTTTTGGTCTAAACAAAAGGTTGAGATAATATCTAATATTTATAGTAAAGTTTAGGATTAAAATTAGTATTTACTTTAAATTTTCATTTAGTTGATAAAAAAAATTTATTAGAAATAATTAAGGACACAAATATTGTATCTTTGTTATTATATCTTATGTCAATTAAGATTCAGAAGTTGTTGGCCAAAACAAAAAAAAAGACTCAGAAGTTATTTTGAGACATAAATATTAAAAGCAAATATATATTTTAATTAAAAAAAGATGTAGAAACCTTGAGGTGGTACAGCCTCTTCTCTATCCTCAAACGCATGTCCAGCATACAACTCCATCAATATCTCCAAGAATCTTTTGCTGAAGAGGTAGTATCTATCGCCCTGAAAGCTTCTTTTCCACATGAAATTTGAATTGCACGCAGAACTGCATCATTCTTTCTTGTCCACTCCCCGCTTGAACCTGGACCAGGCGGCACTTCTCCCAATACAACACCCCAAAGACCTTCAGTGGATAAATAGCGTTTCAAGTGAACTCTCCAAGTTTTATAATTATTTTCGGTTGGAGGTTCCTGGACAATCATGGTTGAATTAGATGGTTGTACTTCCATGTTGATCTCTCTGAACACGAAGACGTAAAAAATCAATTGTTAGATCTTTCAGCGTGTTTGATATTTAACAAATGACGAAAAGAAAATTAAAGATTATAGATATCATATTTTAACTTTCACACACTAAAAAAATCTCACACGCTGGTCGTGGTACAATTAGGAGGCCCTTTTTTTTTTTTTCCCTACCATAATTCAGATAAGAGACAACAAAACTACAGTTGCATACTTTAATTTGATTATAAATCAAAATAAATCATTTTTCGAAACCAATTTAAGTATGCAAGCAGAAATTGTTAAAAGTCTTTCATTCATTAACTTAATATTTGTTTTTTTTGAGTTTTACATATATTTTAGTTTCAATTATATATTAGAAATGTGGTTTTGACATTAAAATTATTAATTTATCTTTAATAAATAAATATAATACAAAATTTTATTAAAAATATTTTAATAATTTCAATGTTAGATTTGCATTTTTAATATATAATTTTTTCTAAAAATTATTTGGCTTTTATTATGTCTCAAAATAACTTCTGTACTAAATAATTAAGCACATAATTTTGTACCAAACAAACTGAACCAGAAACTTTAGAATTCTTCCCCCCCATTATTTTATTTTATTTTATTTTTTTTGTGTTATGTTTAACAGTCCGAAAACCAGAAACTCTTGAAACAATGTGACCCAAAATGTTTTTTTCAAAAAAAATATACTACCCTTTCATTTATTTTTACTAAATTTAATTTAATTTTTTTACTTTTAAAAAATAAATTTAGTTAAAAATTCAATACATTATATAAATAATAATTGAAAAGTTTTCTATTAAATAAAAGACTTGATCAGAACTTTTTTTAAAAAAATTTAATTACTATTTATGTAAATTATTAAATTTTTATTTAAATTATAATTTTAAAAAATTAAAAAAAAATAAATTTACTAAAATTGAGAGAGTTTTTTAAGATAAATTATTCATTAAAAGTATAATTAATCTTATAAATTTATTTAAATATTATTAATAATATAAATAGAAAATAATTTTATTAAAAATATTTGAATAAATTTAAAAAATAAACTACAATTTAATGCATAATCTATCTTATAAAACACATTTTAAGAAATAAAAATAGGCGCAGAGAGTAAAATGCAGCAAATAACAGATCATGAACAGATATCGAATCGAACAAAATAATAGCAGATCAGAATATTTGAAAAAAGGCAAAATAAACGCAATAGGGACAGATCCAAGGGGTCAATGGTCTCTGGGTACCCCATTTTGGGTAGTCCCGGAGGCAAAGCCACTAGATATTGCCCCTATGCTCTCTGATATTAGAGATATACCTAGAGGAGAACAGCGGAAATCAGCAAAATGATCACCGAAAAATCGCCAAGAAGCACCGAAACTAGGCCTGAGCTCTCCCTAGGCCTGAGCTCTCCCTAGGCCCTCGCCGCTGCTGCTGCTGCTTTATTCTCTTCGCACACTAGAAAACGTCCCTATTTACACGAAAAAAAAAAAGAAAAAGAAAACCCCAGGATTCTTCTTCTATTCTTATCCTTTTAACTTGGAATTAAGCTTCTTTTAATCAGGCAAAATCTATGCCTCAACTTTTTTAGATTTTTTTTTTTTTTGTTAATCAATTGTATAGCACGCGGGTGAAAATTTGTGGAGGTTTTATCGGTAGGGGTGGGGCACGGCGGGCAAAG